TAAATATGGACGCTAAGGTTTGACAACAAGATTCACCTCCGAAAAAGTAAAGATGATACTTAGATTTAACAGAAACATAAAGCTTTATATGCAAAAGACAATAGGTTGGTGGGTTCAATTACAGACGGTGCAAGATACCGAAGTTCGTAAGTAATAGGAGCTTGGCAGAGTACAAAATACGGTACCAAAATAGTAAAAATAGGACATATAGCTTTCCGGCTCAAAGAAGAATATTTTGATGACTAAGGACGCAATCCATCTATAAATCAAGAGCGAATAAATCCCTTTTACTAACAGCTTTACTGATTTCCATTCAATATTATATGCATTTATTTGTTTTTTTACACATATTCCAAATTTAATTTTTCAAAGGAGATTTCAATAATTTGTTCCAGAACACATTACTACATCGTCAAAAAGAGCTTACAAGAAGGTGCATGATGAATAGCAATCAAATTAAAGTTAATGTTAACATTAATGACGAATACAGAGTATTGATAGCTTTAATAAATAAGTCTAGTATTGAATGGCATACATACGAAAACAAAGCCTATAGGCTAGAAAGACATTCACAACTTGAGCGGTACTCAACCATGTACCCAAATTTCTGGGCGTTGGAGTTACCAGCCCGGCTTGGGGGTCGTCTTCAAGTTGCTGGGCGTTGGAGTACCAGCCCGGCTTAAGGCGAGGTGAGAAGCGGTATCAGCCTGATCGGATGCCATTTTCGAACATCTTTCACTCATCCAAATAAACTTACATATGGCCGAAGTAAACCGTGAGGATGTACAAAGGGATCGTTGGGGCCCAAGTGCTTTGGTTATACCACCTGTGATTTAACCAACCTCACTTGAAACTACAAACATACATTCACAACTACTGAGTAACTCAAAAAGCCAAGAGAACCATCTTCAACGACAACGTGAAGCAGGTTAGAGTGCTCTTATATAGAAGTATAGAGTATGCAGAATAGCAATGGAGCTGCAAATAAAAAGAGATAATTCTAAAACCAAGAAAGTTACTACCCAAGCACCATAAATTCCCCCTAATATAGTAGAGCCAGGACAAGCAACAGAAACCGCAAAGTCAGCACCTTTCTCATCACCATCCGAACCATCCATGATGCTGATGATGCAAAGCATGATAAAGACATTAAGTTGAATCAATGCAAGGTTCGACAAATTAAAAGCCAGGGATACCGGTACTACACGTAAAATAAAATAATTATGGACGAAAAGGATTTAGGTATTGCTGCCTGGTTGGAATGCTGCCTGGAATGCTAAAGGCACCCTAAACAAAAAAAATACCACCCTGAAGTCTTCTTGAATACCTGATGCTTAGATGTCTGTCTCATTGCGGAAACACGCTAACCTGGAAATCAAGAATAAAGTTAACCTAAAAATTTCGGTCCTAAAACGAGTGAACAACTAAAGAAAGAAGCTGAATATTTCACCTATTTTACCCACGATACTAAAGAGATAACACACACAACCAAAGGTGTGATTTATAAAAAAGCAGATTATTCACTGTGACAGGCAATCAAGATAATCAAGAGACCTCTAACCTCAATTCATGCTATTAGAAACAACAATAGACCATAGTTGAGAAGTTTATATCGAACCCAAGCAAAACAATCAGGAAATGACCAATAATCAAAACCATAGAACAAAAAATATTCCACCTTTTACTCCTAAAGATGTAGTAGATGAAGTAAAACCTAATCTGAATCCAAGGATTCGCCCTCAGCACAGGAGAAATTCTAAAGTAGCTGCGTGGGAAAGGTATAACCCATGCCAGTGACATGATTATTACCTGGACTGTGCGTTCCGCATAGTTCCCGTGTAAAAGAGTGATGCCAATAGGTTAGGCAACCAACAGTGACCATTGTAGGCAAAAGCGACCGGCCACACGGCAAGGTTAATGCTATTGCGTGGCTGATAAATGCGCAAATAAGAAAAATACCCTTCTACTATGCAATTTTCTGACCTGCTGTACCTTTGTCAGTGACAAAATGACAAAGTACTTGTTTATAAACAAATTCAAAATTTCGACGAAAATCTTTTTTTTTTAATAATAATTTAATAATATTTTAAATATTTTAATAATGTCATTTTAGATATTCACATGAAGCAACTTGCTCATACTTGTCTTATTATGCTATTCTAGCAAGAGCGCTTTCTTATGGCGCGGCCCGGCTTTTGCCTACAATGACAAATGTTGGTTGCATACCCTACTGGCATCACTTTATTCGGCGAACACGCAGTCCAGTTGATAACTATGTCACTGACTCATGCTAACTTACCTCTTCGACGCACCTCTTAGATTAAAAGGTACTGCCATGTAGAAAAGTTGCAGAGGCTACATTCGAAAGCTTAGGAAGACAAGTTAATGGTGTTAACTCTTTCAGAGCGATTTCACTATTACCAATAGTCTCAAAAAAAATTTTCGGGAAACCACTGCTCAAAAGTCTGACTCCAATAATAGAAAGTAAATAATAAATAAAATCCTACACAATGAATCTGCTTGGTAGTTTTCTTGGATGTCACACAAGTCTTCACACAGATAATGTTCCGTAAGAAGGCTCGATATACAAACTAAGCAAAACACACCCAAAGCAATACGTAGAGATATTAACATTGTATATCTGTGATAGACGGTTTAGACTTGAAGAAAAAAGTGAATACTCCGAATTAAAAGAGGTAAAAGCGTTGGAGTGCATCTCTGTCATTACGTTTGCAGATGAGAATCTTTGTCCTTTGCCTTTTCAGGTCTCAAGTCCTCCTTTCTCTTTCCGTAAAGTCTGCAGTCGTTTTCATTAATATTGCTGAGTTTGTGACCAATGCGATATACATATGTGCATATTGCATTGGTCTTTCTTTAGCACAAAAATATTTTAATTGTTTTATTTAAATACTACTTTAAATTTCGATTAACTTAAAAAATTTACATTACGTTTTTGCTTCGGTAAGAAGTCTTTGTAAAGTTCGTACAGTTCACATTTAGATTTCCAGATAGATTAGGGTAAGTACAGTTTACTTGTGATTATGTGATTCTAACATACAATATAATAATTCATTGAAGAAGTCCTCCAAGTTCCTCACTTCTGCACCTTTCTTTTTTCAAATCGAGCTAGTTTTTTTGATTCAAATTCTCTCTATCAGGGTCATCGTCGATCGCTAATATTTAATGTACGTAAAAGCATTCTTTTACAAATATGATTTAGTTCACACTCTCATATTATACTTGTACTCCACAGATGCAGAACAGAACACCTAGATTTTTCAGGTATTTTTAAAATTTCTAGTGCTTTTCGAAGTAACAACTTTTGTCAGCATACAAGTATAAAAACGTTTTTTATCACAACTGATCTCCCAGAATTCGTTAAAAATGTCCCTTTGTCCTCTTCTTTTATAATTTATTGTTATTTATTGTTGATAGTAAATCAACGATTACATTTTATTACTATATACTTTCTTATTGCGTTTTAAAACTTTTTTTTCTTCATCCTGACTGTGACCATATTCACAATTTTACCATATTACTAGTTTTATTTAGTTATTAGTTATTATGTTAATGTAGTAACACTTATCAAACATGTTAAGTGTATCTTCTGAATATTTTGATAAATTGTTTTCGGGTTTGTTCGTATTAGCTTGAAATAATGCTAAATTCAAAATTTCCATACACTGAAATATTCTTCTATAATAAAAAATAATGTTTATTTATTCGCAATTTTTTGTCGTAAAATAAATTAATTACAAATTATAAATTAAATCGTTTTATTTATAAACTTTAAATAAATGTGAAATCACTTTCTTTAATAATGTCTGCCAAATCTAGAAGCTCTCCGTATTTCGTCTCTTAGCTTTTCATTTTCCTTTCCTAACCTTTCAATTTCACTTCGTTGAAAACCGTTTTCATAATTCTTTGTTTCCACCAACTCTAATGCTGTAGAATGTTGAAGACGCAAATTCAAATTTTCATCCATCAATTTCTTCAACTTTTCATCAAGTTCTTTAATATTATCTTCATTCTTATCGGCATCTTTATCTTTTTCAATAGGAACATAATCACCATCTGTTGTATTCACGTTCTTCTGAGTGCCAGTTTCAACGTATTCGTGCTTTTTCAGTAATAAATACGAACTCTGTTTTGGATCATTGAATACAAACTCTGTCATTTTGTTTTATTTGACAAACAATTTTTGATTAATCGAGATATTTTTTTTTAAATAATTGTTTTACAAGTTTTATTTTTTGAAAAAAAAAAACAAAGATAAAAGCAAGGTCGATGGAATAAAAACAAAAACTTCAATACGAATTTAACGTTTTAAGAAGTAAATTGTGGCATTGTTTATAATTACAAGTATGAGGATAGCTCTGTATAACGCCTGATCGCACTTCTTTGTTCTTTATTACGAAAAATATTTACACAATAAGCTAAAGAACGATAAATGTATTCGGTGGTGTTCGTAAATTCTAAATTCCATAGTTTAGCGTGCCAAGATGATTATTACAAACGAAATACTAACGATTGTGATTAATTAGAATCCATAATTCTCGCAATACTTTTATTCCTTTTTCTCTTCTCTCTTTGGAATTCATTTTATTCTAAATTCATTATTTGTAAAATACTTGAAAAAAAATTGGTGTGCAATTATTTATTATGCTGAGATTTCAGATTTTGATTTATTGTTTTCCGCGTTTGCTGACGTCATAGAAACCCACAAAGCTTGGGTCAATCCAAATTTAGGAAAGATACAAACATAATTTTTATTTCATAAAACCAGGATGTTATTAATTTAATTACAATGTAATACATATACTTTAAGATTTTTTATATATCATTTTAATTAATAATTTTGTTAAAAGAACGATAATTTTTTTCATATTCGGAGATATTTCAAACAATTATTTTCACATATGTTGATAGATACCGCTGTCTTAAGTGAAGTTCAAACTACTTCAAACATAAACTGAGATAAAACAAAGTTTTAAACTTACCCACGCATTTCGTCTTCTGTTGGTTACAGGAACGAACGCTGTAAACGCTCTTTTATGATTGGTTCGCCAAACGAAATTTCTGCGCTTTCACTCTGTGGTCAATGTCAAGATCTTTGTATAAGAAGATTAAAATAAAAATACTATTTCATGTAAACACTTACCAATCTCAACTTAAGCGATTCTAGGATTATTTGATACATGTAGAGACATCTATGGATCTAAACTGTGAACATGATATAATGGAATACTTTTAGAAGTAGATATCTATTAGAGCTTACTAGTATCTTGGTCAGTTAGCTGCGCAGAAGAAAGAGTGCGACAGTAAATCATTGAAAGTAAACTTGAGATATCAACTACCGTAGAAAATAAATTAAATACTACATAAATTTACTTTAAATTGCTTTTCCTTGTGATATCTCAATTAATTTTTGAGATACGATTTTTTTAATATTTGTTCTTAAAGTTTAGAATAATCAAAGATGCCAAGATGGGTTTAAAAAATCATAAGAATGATGTTTATGGAAAGTAAAAAAAATATTTAGCGCACATTAAATCTTCATCAAATTTGCTTTAAAATATTGTTTATTTCATCATAATATATCGTCCTTGAGATACGACTGATTAAAATTTATATTGAACTAAAATTAGAACTAAAACTAGAACTAACACTAGAAACTTTCTGAAGAAATCTTCTTCAATTTCTGAGGAAGGTTGCAACATGGCATCCGAAACGTCAAACCTTTTCTTAAAAGACGCACGGCAAAACCCGAAAGTTTCTAGTGTTAGTTGTAGTTTTAGCTCTAATTTTAGTTCAATTAACACTGTTTGATCTTTCATATTATATTTTTGTTATGGGTCGTATGCGCTGAGCATAGAAAACATAGGAAACGCGTCAATGACAACAAAACAAAATGTCATTACAATTAATATTAGGTAGCCTCAGGTAGCCTAAACAAAACCGTGAAACTCTCAAGGGGAATAACTCACTAGATGGAGCTGATGTCTACAAATTAATAAAGTCCCTAGATTTACAAAGTACCGTGGTTTATGAAGCCTGTTTTCGAGCCAAAATGGCGGTTAGACAGCTTGTCACTGCATCTCACCACTTATTTACAAAAATATTGCCGTCTTGTTGCCTTTGGAGTTGCAAAAAGGACTTTCAACTCTTTCAACAATAGTTACTTAGACGCTTATCATTAAATAATTCAAATAATTTTGAATTGTTTATTCGGGAGAGCCAAGCCATTCGAATAATAAGATTGGTCGGGAAATAATATCTAGAAATATAGAATGAAAGTAATTATGCCGTATTAATTAATAATTTTTGTCCACGACTACCTTATAATATATACCTTATGAATGAGTTTTCTAAAACAAAATGGTAGTCATTTTTGACGGAGTGAATAATAGCGGTGAATCTTGACCAGACTAATAATAATTATTTGAAACGTTAAAAGTTCAAAAAACGTCAATTTAATTCAATTTTTTAGAAGTTTCTAAATGGTTGACATTAAAAAAACCTAAACAAATTCCTTTTTTCGTATGATTTAAGCATAAATTAATTAATTTTCATAAAGAAAACGACGTTTTATAAAATTGACATTTAATTTTGACAAATTGTTGTGAAGTTGGTTACAGTTAGTAACATTGAATTTGTGTCACATTGACGTTTAACCTTTATTCAAAAATTTATTTGAAAAATAAATTTATAGAATCAACTTCAATAGTCGTGGACAAAGTATAGTATTCTACTCGCATATTATGAGCTATTATTCACTCAGGTTAATTATGCCACTCGCTACGCTCGTGACATAAACTTAACCTTCGTGAATAATAGCCCTCATTATATGCTCATATAATAATATACTATTATAATTTACCTTTTAATGTCTTTATCATCGCAAGATGGTACACAGCAAGGTTTAATAACCGAAATTTTTATTATTTAAAAATTTTTAAATGTTTTTTTTTACACATAATTACAAAATTACACTTATAAATTACACTTATTAAAAAAATTTACTGATTTATCAAAAATTATCAATATTATTTATATTTGACATCACTTTGACTTAATTAATCAAAGATGAATACAAAAAAAATGAAATATAAGCCACTTTAAAGGTTGGCATTAGAATTTGAGTGGAATTAGTTATCGACGGTGACATCGGATGGCGCTGACGACGGTTATTTTTCATTCATTAGAGACCCACGCTAATGCCAAAAACCTCAAAACGCTNTAATAATAATATTAAATATTAATAAAAAATGTGAAATAATGCAATCTATTCCAACTATTGTGTAAAACAAATATAAATTAAATAGTTCAACAAATTTATTTGTTTCAAACATCAGAAATAGGTTTTCTTAATTTTTAGTTATAATTTACAGGAAACTGTAAATTTAATTTCTTTGACGACACTAAAAAAAAAGTTTATTTTTAGCTTTATTCTAAAACAATAGGAAATAGACCTGTCAAACCCTATATTTTTTTAACCATAAAAAAACGAATTTAATAAGCAAATAATCAGTTGTTGTTTCCATTTAAAAAAAACGATATCTCAAAATCTAAAATCGAAAAATTTTTTTTGACTGTCGTGAAATTCTCTGTATAAAGTGTCCATATAAGGTCTTAGTTATAATACTCCACCTAGAATAATAACCAAGATAATTGCACTTGTTGGTTTTACGATATTTTCAATTTTGGCCTCTAGGGGAAAAACAAAACACGATAGCGCTTTGAGGTTTTCGGCATTAGCAGTTTCTCAGAAAACGAAATCATGACATGTAAGCTATTTTTTTCTAACTCTTATAGTTTCCAAGGTAGCTTATTCGGACATCGAATTTGAACCACCCTTGTACATAGAATCATCCTCTTCTTATAATAATACCAATATTTCAACCATTTGGAAATTTTTAATTGGAAATCTGATGGTCCAAATTGCATTTTTATTTTTTTTTTAATTCTGCTAAAAGCTGAACTGTTTCACTATCCTTTATCCTTAACACTATAATAACCGATTCGTTTATAACCAAGATAAGTAGTAACGACGGGACCGTTGAGAACAAAGAGAACGTGGTGAAGTTTCACATCACCACGTGTTCAAGCAAGAAAGGTTACTTGTTAGGGCTTGTCTGGATTTAGAGTAACTTTCAACACTGTTAAGAGTTAAATTTTAACTCTAGCATGTTCAACGTAAATCTACAACAGGAAACTTTAATCCATTAGAGTATATTGAAAAAATTATCTCTAATAGAGTTTATCCATAAGTAGAGTAAATAATAGAACAAAATTTACTCTAAAAAAAACACTCTACAGTATGTCCCCGGATCGAGTTACAAAGAGGAAAAAAATTTTTGTTACTGATTTTTCAAACTTATCTCAGTACAAATAATGCGTCGGATATGTTCAAACTAGTAAATCGCATGAATTTTATACTCTAACTATAAAAGTTAACTAATTATTCCAATTTTTATGTAAAAATTCGACATTTTTCTAAATTGAAAATTGAAATTGTAGTTCAATNGATTTTGAGATATTATGACAATTTTCGTTTTTTTAAATGGAAACAACTCCTGATTATTAATATTAAATATTAATAAAAAACGTGAAATGATGCAATCTATTCCAACTATTGTGTAAAACAAATATAAATTAAATAGTTCAACAAATTTATTTGTTTCAAACATCAGAAATAGGTTTTCTTAATTTTTAGTTATAATTTACAGGAAACTGTAAATTTAATTTCTTTGACGACACTAAAAAAAAAGTTTTTCGTGTAAAAAATCTCGGCTTCGCCTCGATTAGAAAATTCACGATTCGTAAAGAAAAAAGTATACTTTCTTTACTTATAATACAAATAACTATTATTTTTAGCTTTATTCTAAAACAATAGGAAATAGACCTGTCAAACCTTATATTTTTGTAACCATAAAAAAAAACGAATTTAGTAAGCAAATAATCAGTGGTTGTTTCCATTTAAAAAAACGAAAATTGTCATGATATCTCAAAATCTAAAATCTTAAAAATTTTTTTGTCTACATCATCAAATTCTCTGTAAAAAAGTGTCCATATAATGTCTTAGTTATAATACTCCACCTATAATAATAACCAAGATAATTGCACTTGTTGGTTTTACGATATTTTCAATTTTGGCCTCTAGGGGAAAAACAAAAGAAGATAGCGCTTTGAGGTTTTCGGCATTAGCAGTTTCTCGGAAAACGAAATCATGACATGTAAGCTATTTTTTTTCTAACTCTTATAGTTTTCGAGATAGTCTATTCGGACATCGAATTTGAACCACCCTGTACATAGAATCATCCCCTTCTTATAATAATACCAATATTTCAATCATTTGGAAATTTTTAATTGGAAATCTGATAGTCCAAATTGCATTTTTGTTTCTTTTTTAAATTCTGCTAAAAGCTGAACTGTTTCACTATCCTTTATCCTTAACACTATAATAACCGATTCGTTAATAACCAAGATAGGTAGTAACGACGGGACCGTTGAGAACAAAGAGAACGTGGTGAAGTTTCACATCACCACGTGTTCAAGCAAGAAAGGTTGTGAACTTGTTAGGGCTTGTCTGGATTTAGAGTAACTTTCAAGATTGTTAAGAGTTAAATTTTAACTCTAGCATGTTCAACGTAAATCTACAACAGGAAACTTTAACTCCATTAGAGTATATTGAAAAAATGATCTCTAATAGAGTTTATCCATAAGTAGAGTATATAATAGAATAAAATTTACTGTAAAAAAACACTATATTTTTAATCTGTACTGTAAAATTTTAAACCGGGATTATTTCTTATCGTGTTGTTTTTTGTAGTTATGGTTTCTTTATTCTTTTTTATCGGTTTCAGGTTGTAACAAGGTCCTTAACATGCACAAAAGTTGGTTTGTAATATACCTTATAACTTATAACTGTACTAGGAATGTAAAAATGACGTATTATTAATTTACTGCCACTGTTTGAACTTAGTATAACATTTTTCGTATCTCACTTTCGACTTGGTTGGAATAAGTGCTTGCATAGCTTCCTCAGCACTTTCTAGCACGTTTTCAGGCAAATTAACGTC